AAATCCTGCTCTCCTCATCTCACTAACTCGTGGAACATTCTGTCCCATGTGTCAAAGACTCGTTGCTCTGTTCAGTCCCATGAAGACCCAAGGCAGAAACGCATATAAACCCACATAACATTCCACTGAATTGACTGCTGATCTCCACTAGGGGTAATGTTCCCTCTCTCCACCATCAAGGCACAGTGGCATCACCTTGTAAAAGGTAAAGTGCCCACTGCCCTACCAGATTCTTGGTCTGCACTCATTTGAGAGAGATGACTGGTGGTGGTTTAACCTGAAGGTTACCACATCCCAGGCAAGGGGAGAGGTTGAGGAGACTCCATCTAATCTCAATGTGTACTAGCAACACCCATGTTACATGAATGAAAAAGGTAAAAGCAAAACCCTAAGCATGTAAGTAAAAATCCCTCATTCCTTAAACCATCCTGGTATATTTCCTCTATTCACTCTCAGTGACCCTGCCATCCTTCCCAATGTGTGGGTGATCTCTGGTTTACACAGATCCAGATGCTCTGTCTTCCTATGTGTGATGCAGTGATAATTACACTGAACCTCACTGTCTGTAAGGGTGGTAGATGCTGAAATCCTGATAACATTTTAAGATGTATTCAGATGCACACTTGCAATGCCAAGGCAGAAAATTCTATAAGCAAAGTGCTGGAAAATAGGATGAGAATAGTTTGGTCATAGTTTTCTTTACTGGCACAGCCCCAGTACCTACAGTGCCTTTTTCTATCCTTTAGACCTTTGAGACACTTAATACAGAAATATGACAAGTCACATTTGAAACCAGGTCAGAGAAGGCAACATTAGAATACATGACACGTGATTGGTCAATGTTCTTGGGAGGAAAGTGAGGTTGAGAGGCGGAGCAGTTTAGGAGGAAGTTCTGGAGCACAGGGCGCAGGAATCTGAAAGTGCCACCATCAAGTGGAGATATAATAAAGGGGTAACACAGTGTGGAGCTGGAGGAACACAGCAGGCCAAGCAGCATCAGAGGAAAGCTGATGTTTCAGGTTGGGACCCTTCTTCAGAAATGGGGGAGGGGAAGAGGGGGGGGGCTGAAAAATAAATAGGGGAGGGGTTGGGCTGGGAAAGGTAGGTGGGATGGTGATAAGACATAGGTACCAGAGGGTTGCAGTGGGAGAGAGATCCGCTGAGGTCTTTCTGGAGGGAGGAGTGTAACTTCTTCAAGGTAAGAATCCCTAGAAGAGGCTTTGCAGTGGGGTTATAACTCATTCAGAGATAGTAAGAACTACCGATTCTGGAGTCTGAGATAACACTGTGGAGCTGGAGGAACACAGCAGGCCAGGCAGCATCAGAGGAGCAGGAAAGCTGACGTTTCGGATCGGGACCCCCTTCCCCTCCCCCATTTCTGAAGAAGGGTCCCAACCCGAAACGTCAGCTTTCCGGCTCCTCTGATGCTGCCTGGCCTGCTGTGTTCCTCCAGCTCCACGCTGTGTTATCTCAGACTCCAGAATCGGAAGTTCTTACTATCTCTATAATAAAGGGGTATCTGTCCTCATAAGGCTGGAATTAGAGACAAGCACATATCTCAGATTTGTGAGGAGATTAGAGATAAGGAGGGTTATCAGACTGGAGGAGATGACAGATAAGGAGGATTGTGAAAGTGGAGGATGTTACAGAGATAGAGATATTTGTGATGCCAGAGACAGTGAGGGTTCTGAGACTGGAGGAGATGACAGAGTGATGGAGAGTTGTGAAGCTGTAGGGGAATTATAGAGATTGTGAGGCTGGAAGAGATGACAGCAACAGGGTGAGTTGTGAAGTTGGATGAGATGACAGTGACAAGGAGAGTTGTAAGGCTGGGTGAGAGAACAGTGAGAGGGGAAGTTGTGAAGTTAGGTGAAATGACAGTGATGGAATCTTGTGAGGCTGGATCAGATAACAGTGACAGGGAGGGTTGTAATGATGGGGGGAATTTACAGAAATAGCAGGAGTTGGACTCATAGAGTTATGCAGCTCAGAAACAGACTGTTCGTTCCTGCCTCAAAAAACTCAGTCCAGTTTGCAAAACACCCTCTCACAGAGCCACACTAATTATCCCTAATCATTCCATGCCTCTCCAAATGCATATAAATCCTATCTTTCAGAATCACCTGAAACAACTTACCCACCACCGAAGTCAGACTTGCAGGTCAGTGGTTCCCAGACTTATCTTTGCATCTTATCCCAAAGCTTTTTATTCATACATAAGGAGCAAGAGGGTAACTCGAGAAAGTGTTGGCCCACTCAAGGACAAAGGAGGGAAGTTATGCAAGGAGTCAGAGAAAATGAGTGAGATTCTTAATGAGTACTTTGTGTTGGTATTCACTGAGGAGAGGGACATGACGGATGTTGAGGTTAGGGATAGATGTTTGATTACTCTCGGTCAAGTCGGCATAAGGAGGGGGGAAGTGTTGGGTATTCTAAAAGGCATTAGGGTGGACAAGTCCCAGGTCTGGATGGGATCTATCCCAGGTTACTGAGGGAAGCAAGAGAGTAAATAGCTGGGGCCTTAACAGATATGTTTGCAGCATCCTTGAGCACGGGTGAGGTCCCAGAGGACTGGAGAATTGCTAATGCTGTCCCCTTGTTTAAGAAGGGTAGCAAGGATAATCCAGGAAATTATAGACCGGTTAGCCTGACGTAGTGGTGGAAAAGCTGCTGGAGAAGATACTGAGGAATAGGATCTATTATATTTGGAAGAAAATGGGCTTATTAGTGATAGGCAGCATGGTTTTGTGCAGGGAAGGTCATGTCTTACCAACTTGATAGAATTCTTTGAGGAAGTGACAAAGTTGATAGATGAGGGAAGGGCTGTAGATGTCATATACATGGACTTCAGTAAAGTGTTTGATAAGATTCCCCATGGTAGGCTGATGGAGAAAGTGAAGTCGCATGGGGTCCAGGGTGTACTAGCTAGATGGATAGAGAACTGGCTGGGCAACAGGAGACAGAGAGTTGTAGTGGAAGGGAGTTTCTCAAAATGGAGAACTGTGACCAGTGGTGTTCCACAGGGATCCGTGTTGGGACCACTGTTGCTTGTGATAGACATAAATGATCTGGAGGAAGGTATAGATGGTCTGATTAGCAAGTTTGCAGATGACACTAAGATTGGTGGAGTAGCAGATAGTGAAGGGGACTGTCGGAGAATACAGCAGAATATAAATAGATTGGAGAGTTGGGTGGAGAAATGGCAGATGGAGTTCAATCCAGGCAAATGCGACGTAATGCATTTTGGAAGATCCAATTCAAGAGCGAACTATACGGTAAATAGAAAAGCCCTGGGGAAAATTGATGCACAGAGAGATCTGGGTGTTCAGGTCCATTGTACCCTGAAGGTGGCAACGCAGGTGGATAGAGTGATCAAGAAGGGATACGGCATGCTTTCATTCATTGGACGGGGTATTGAGTACAAGAGTTGGCAGGTCATGTTACAGTTGTATAGTACTTTGGTTCGACCACATTTGGAATACTGCATACAGTTCTGGTTGCCACATTACCAAAAGGATGTGGATGCTTTGGACAGGGTGCAGAGGAGGTTCACCAGGATGTTGCCTGGTATGGAGGGTGCTAGCTATGAAGAGAGGTTGAGTAGATTAGGATTATTTACATTAGAAAGACGAAGGTTGAGGGGGGACCTGATTGAGGTCTACAAAATCATGAGAGGTATAGACAGGGTGGATAGCAAGAAGCTTTTTCCCAGAGTGGGGGATTCAATTACTAGGGGTCACGATTTCAAGGTGAGAGGGTAAAAGTTTAAGGGAGATATGCATGGAAAGTTCTTTACACAGAGGATGGTGGGTGCCTGGAACACATTGCCAGTGGAGGCGGTAGAGGCAGGCATGATAGCATCAAATAAGATGTATCTAGACAGATACATGAATGGGCAGGGAGCAGAGGGATACAGATTCTTGGAAAATAGGCGACAGGTTTAGATAGAGGATCTGGATCGGCGCAGGCTTGGAGGGCCGAAGGGCCTGTTCCTGTGCTGTAATTTTCTTTGTTATTTGTCCCTTATTAAACAAAGGTGCAACATTAGTCACTCTGCAGTTATCAGGCACATCACCCCGTAGTTGTAGATTATAAAAATATTCCTGCAACCATCCGTGCAATTTCCTTCCGCCCTTCTCAAGACATCCTGGGATACACTAGATCAGGTCCTGGAGATTTATCCATCTTTGTTTTCTTAGACTTTCAGTACATCTTCTGTAAAGTGTGAACTGTTTTTGAAACATCAGTATTTATTTCACTCTAGTTCTCTAGCTTTCATTTCTTTTTCCACAGTAAAAACTATGCAAAATACTTATTTAATATCTCTTCCGTTTCCTCAGGTTCAACAGAAAATCGACCTCTTTGATCTTTAAAGGGCGCTACTCTCTCTCTCGTTGCTGTCTTGCTTGAAAATTTTCTTGAACTCATTTGTTCTCCTCTGTTTTCATCTCACCCAATCCCTCAGCTGGAGGGCAGTGCAAGCGCAGTGTGGGCCTGCTGTCTGGAGATGCACAGTGCAGCTGCCACTAGCTGCTGGAGAGAGGGGGAGGGGCAGCTGACTGAGTGACTTCTCACTCTGGCCCGAGCTGGCAGCCAGCTGTCCTGGAACTTTGGCTCCAGGAGGGGGAGGTGTAACAATGCGTGGGGGCAGGACTCACGTGCCCATGCGTGGGGACCCCGAGGATATCACCGCTGAGCACGGCAATTCCTATTAGCTGCTTGAATGTCACTGCTGATGTTGTCTTTCGAGCTTCAGACTGAAACTCCCACCCCATCCCCCCACCATCTCTGCAACATCTAGGAGCAAAGCAATAGCTCCCCTTCTTTCTATTTCTTTTCTCGTGGTGGGAGGGAGGGGGAAAACTGTTCACTTTACAAAAAGTATGCAGGTGCACAGTCTTTACCCAGTGTAGGTGTGTTAATGTACAGCGACATTTGATCATTTTCAAAACTTACCATACAGGTACATAATTGTATCATCATTTTACTGACAATATAAGCACCTTTAATAGACCAGTGTTTAATAAAATCAATACAATGGCCCAATGACCAAGGTTCATTCCTTAGTGTAAGTAAAAGCAAAACCCCTCACCCACAGTTCTTTGTGAATTTGCTGGTGTGTGAGCAAACAGCAAATCATTTAACACAAACAGAGCAGGTGAACAGGACGCACCCAGTGTAATTTCACTGGTGTATTAATAGTTTGGATGGCAGAGTGAATCCCTTCCCACATAGGGAACAAGTGAATGGTCTCTCCCCAGAGTGAACACGCTGGTGTATCAGCAAGTGAGTTGACTGACAGAAAGTTTCTTCCCAGTGTGAACTTGCTGCTGGTGACTCTGCAGACTGGTTGATTGGGTAAATCCCTTCCCACAATCGGAGCAGGTGTAAGGTTTCACTCCAGTGTGAATTCGCTGGTGTCTCTGCAGGTGGAATGACCGAGTGAATCCCTTTTCACACACGTAGCAGGTGAATGGTCTCTCCCCAGTGTGAATTTGCTGGTGTTCCAGCAGGTGGGATGATTGTTTAAATCTCTTCCCACAGTCAGAGCAGGTGAATGGTCTCTCCCCAGTGTGAACTTGCTGGTGTTCCAGCAGGTCGGATGATTGGGTAAATCCCTTCCCACAATAGGAGCAGGTGAATGCTTTCCCTCCAGTGTGAACTCCCCGGTGTCTCTGCAGGGTGGATGACCAAGTGAATCCCTTCCCACAATCGGAGCAGATGAATGGTCTCTCCCCCGTGTGAACTCGCTGGTGTTCCAGCAGGTGGGATGACCGAGTGAATCCCTTCCCACAGTCAGAGCAGGTAAACGGCCTCTCCCCAGTGTGAACTCGCTGGTGTTCCAGCAGGTCGGATGATTGAGTAAATCCCTTCCCACAATTGGAACAGGCAAATGGTCTCTCTCCAGTGTGAATTCGCTGGTGTCTCTGCAGGTGGGATGACCGAGTGAAACCCTTTTCACACACGGAGCAAGTGAATGATCTCTCCCCAGTGTGAATTCGCTGGTGTTTCTGCAGGCTGGATGATGAAGTGAATCCCTTCCCACAATCAGAGCAAGCGAATGGTTTCTCCCCAGTGTGACTGCGTTGGTGTATGCGCAGGCTGGAGGAGTGAGTGAATCCCATCCCACACTGGGAGCAGGTGAATGGTCTCTCCCCCGTGTGAACCCGTTGGTGTGTCTGCAAGTGGGATGACTGAGTGAAACCCATCCCACAATCAAAGCAGGTGAATGGCTTCTCCCCAGTGTGACTGCGTTGGTGAATTTCCAGCTGTGATGGGTAAAGAAATCCCTTCCCACAATCCCCACATTTCCACAGTCTTTTCCCAGTGTGACTGCGCTGGCATTTGGACATGTCAGATGAATATTCACAGACTCTTCCACACACGGACGATATGTGTTTCCCCCACGGAGTGTTCAAAATCCTGAGATAATTAGGGTATTACAAAAGAGTGACTGTCAGATCTGGATGTAATTTCATTTGAAATGTCTCATTGCAAAACAACCTTTCAAACAAATGTATTGGGAGAAACCAAAACACACAGGTTGTGAAACTGACAGATGTCAATTGGGTCACTTTTGGGGATGACACTTAGGGAAATCGCTGTATTATCATTAAAACTGAACGGGTTCATAAAGGTCCTTCAGGGAAGGGAACCAGTCAATGTTTGAATAAAACTACACAAAGAAATAGAGGTGGGAGAGATAGGCATGAAGAAAAGGCATTTTATAGATCTACAACCCAGTTCTGTTCCTGTTTTCTCACCACACCCTTCAATCTCTCTGAACCGCAAAAAACTAGTGCATAGTTCCTGGAAAATGGAGTTTCAGGTAGATCGGGTGCTGAAGGGCATTTGGCACGTTTGGCTTTATTGGTCAGTGCATTGATCAATAAAGGGACCCAGGTTCGATTCCACTCTACATGGAGTTTGCACATTCTCCCCGTGTCTGCATGGTTTCCTCTAGGTGCTCCAGTTTCCTCCTACGGACCAAAGACGTGTGTATAAGATGCATTAGCCATGGAAAATGCAGGGTTACAAGGATAGGGTGGGATGCTCTTTGGATGGTTGGTGTGGACTTGTAGGCCGAATGGCCTGCTTCCATACTGTAGAGATTCTATGATTAAGCATAGGAGCTAGGGGTACATTTTGCAGTTGTGTAGGGCAGTAGTGGGGCCAATTTTAGAATATTGCATTCAATTCTAGTCTCTTTGATTTCGGAAAGATGTTATCAGTGCAGGACTTGTACACATAATGGTAAGTTGCTGGGGAGTGTTGGCGAACAACGGGATCTTGGAGTGCAGGTGCACAGTTCCTTGAAAGTGGAGTCGCAGGTTTTTGGTACACTAGCTATTATTAGTCAGTGCATAGAGTATTGGTGTTAGAAGGTTATGTTATGCTTGTCCAAGACATTGGTCAGGCCACTTTTGGAATACTGTGCTCAGTTCTGGTCTCCCTGCTACAGGAAAGATGTTGTGAAACTTGAAAGGGTTCAGAAAAGATTTGCAAGGATGTTACCAGGGTTGGAGGTTTTGAAATATAGGTAAAGGCTGAATAGGCTGAGGCTATTTTCCCTGGAGCGTTGGAGGCTGAAAGGTGATCTTACGGAAGTTTATAAAACTGTGAGGATTATGTATAGGGTGAGTACTCAAGGTCTTTATTTTTCCACAGTAGGGGAGTACAAAACTGGACAGCGTAGGTTTAACATGAGAGGAGAAAGACTTAAAAGGCTTCTAAAGGGCAACTTCTTTTAATGCACACAGTGGCGCAGGTATAGAATGATCTGGTCAGTATGGACGAGTTGGACTGAAGGGTCTGTTTCAGTGCTGTACATCTCTATGACTCTAAATGCTTAAGGGAAATGGTGGAAATCTGAAATAAAAACAAAAAGTGCTGGAAGATACTGAAATGGTGACAGATGCAGGAATCATTGCAACCTTAAAGAAAGGTTCATATGATCATACAAGGCATTACAATATAGGTTACCTGCTGAGTGCCAGGAAATGGGACTAGAATACATAGGTGCTTGATGACCAGCATGGATATGATGAGGACATTGTGTTCAACAATTTAATATCAGAGACTCTGACCCCATTTTGTTTTGTGCTTCTCTGTGATTCTCTCTTTTCAGAAGCAGCCAGGAACGGCAAGCAGTGAAGAAAGCAAATGATACATTGGCCTTTAGAGTGAGAGGATTGGAGTACAGGAACAGGGATATCTTTCTGCAAGGGCTTTGGTGAGACCACACCTGGAATATTTTTCTTCCCATTTCCCAAGGAAGGATGCCCTGGTTATTGAGAGTGTAAAGAAGGTTCACCAGTCTGATTCCTGGGGTCTCAGGACTGATGCATAGAGACTCGATCCTCATTTAATCCTCCTTTCATTTGCAACCAGTCAGGTTTAGAAAGGTCCCATCTAACTCAGAAACAGTTCCAAAGCCTCAGGAGTATAAACCCTCCTCTGGTACACCACTTCTCCAGCCACACATTCATCGGATCTATCCTCATATTCCCGCTCTCACTAACACATGCCACTGGAGCAAGTCTGACATTATTATTTGAGGAGCTACATGTTCCACGACCACTGGCTGTTTACCATCCAGCTCCAGAATGTTCTGCAGCCGCTTCATGATATCACAGATCCAGGCACCAAGGAGGTAACATACTGTCCGAGATTCATGTCTGCAGCCACGTAAGTGCCTGTCTGTACCCATGACTATTGCACTCCATATCATTATGGCCCTGCCACTCTTTTTTCTTCCCTTTCTGTGCAGCAGAGCTATGGTGTCATGAACCTGGCTGTTGCTGATTTCCCCTGAGACAGCACTCCACCTGCCCCCCAACAGAATCTAAAGCAGTATACTGGCTGAGAATGGAATGACTACCGAGGACTCCTGCACTTCCTTTCTCAGCCTTTTACTTTATTTAATGGCCACACATTCCATTTCTGCCTGCGTAATCCTCCACTGCGATGTGACCAACTCAGTAAATGTGTTGTCCACATTATTCTCAGTAGTGCAGATGCTCCACAGCGAGTGCATCCACAGCTCCAGCTCTGAAAAGCAGTTACCCACTGGCTGCAGATGGACACACTTCTTGCACATGTAGCCTTTAGAGACACTGGAAGCGTCTCTCATTTCCCACATTGTGCAAGAGGAGCACTGTCTGAGGTCTCTTGTAATGACTTCTCTCTAGATTCAACTAGTTACTCCCATTAAGAGAATTAAAATGAGATAGCAATCTCCCTTTGTTTCAAACATTTCTATTATATTCTCACCACACTGACTTCAGCCTCCTATACTGTTCCAATGCAGCTCAGTGAGAGCTCAGGGAAGTGCATCTCATTTTTCAATTCAGCCCTTTATAACCTCCAGACTCATCATGGATTTCAGCAGTTTCAGGATCAACAGAGAGTTGTCAGGATCTGGAACATTCCACTTGAAAAGATGTAGGAATTCAAGTCCGTAAGATATTTTAAAAGGAAGTTTACAGGCAATTGAGAATGAGGAGCTGATAGGTTAAAATCATGAAGTGGGTGATTGGGACTTCTTGATTTGGGCGGCGGGAGAGCACAAGCCAAGGGGCAGCCGGGAAGGTAAGGTTAGGTTTTCCTTATAAAAACTTACCTTGTTCACAGGAAGTGAATTATTATATTCAAGTATTGTCTAAACTTGAAACACTACACGTGTAGTGTCTCCCACCCATCCTCCTCCTCTAACCAAAAAAAAATGTACAGAGGGTCGGTAAGGTAAAGTAAGGCATTTTTTTTCTTTATTCTTTTGGCAATCTAGAGGAGAGGGAATTCTTTTTCTTTTTTTTTCGGCGGGAAGCTGTCAGAGGGAGGAAAGTATCAACAAATGTAATTAACTCATTATAATAAATAGTTAATTACTTTATTAATTTATATTAAGTAGAACTGGCTGGACAGGCAATGTGTTGTAGGTGTATGATGTGGGACTGTAGTGAACACATCTGCAGCAAGTGTTGGTTGCTCGACGAACTTCGGCTCAGAGTTGATGAGTTGGAATCTGAGCTTCAAACACTGCGGCACATCCGGGAGGGGGAGAAGTACCTGGACGCTTTGTTTCAGGAGATAGTCACACCTGGTAGATTAAGTAATTCAAATTTGGTCAGTGGTCAGGGACAGCAGGGTGTGACTGTAAGCGAAGCAGGTCGAGGGATCCTGCATTCAGGAACAGGTGGGGCCTCAGCTCTAGACCTTGTCCAACAGGTACGAGGTACTTACTCGCTGTGTGGATGAGGAAAAGGGCTGCAGGGAGGATGAGCCAACTGACCACTGCACCGTGGTACGGGAGGCCATTCAAGAGGGGGGTAGTTGTAGGGGATTCTATAATTAGGGAGATAGATAGTATCCTTTGTAAGCAGGATCGATAGTCCTGCATGGTGTGTTGCCTGCCCAGTGCCAGGGTAAAGGATATCTCTGACCAGCTTTAAAGGATATTGGAGTGGGAGGGGGAGGATCCAGTTGTTGCGGGCCATGCCGGACAAACAACACAGGCAAGACTAGGAAAGAGGACCTGTTCAGAGATTATCAGGAGCTAGGAACCAAATTAAAAAACAGGTCCTCAAGGGTTATAATCTCCGTATTACTGCCCGAGCCACGTGCTAATTGGCATAGGGACATGAGAATAAGAGAAATAAACATGTGGCTAAATGAGTGGTGCAGAAATAGGGGTTCCTTTTCATGGGGCACTGGCATCAGTATTGGAACAGGAGGGATCTGTACTGTTGGGACAGTCTCCACCTGAATCGAGCTGGGACCAATGTTCTAGTGAAAAGGGTAAATAGGCTGGTCAACAGGACTTTAAACTAGAAAGTGGGTGGGGGGCAAGGGAATGGTGAAACTTGCCCCAGTGGGAAACAAAGCAGCAGGTTAACATCTGTAGTAGTAGATTCAACTAGGTGGAAAAATATGAAAGAAATGACAGGGATCGAGAACTCAGGAGGGGTTATTAAAGTCTCCAGCACAGACACAAATAGGACAGAGTGTTTGGAAAGGGCTATTAATCAAACACTGGAAAAACAAATGATAATGAGAAGAGGAAAGGTTAATACAGGACTGAAGGTGTGATATCTGAATGCACGCAGTATAAAGAATAAGGTAAATGAGCTTGTGGCACAGATCGAAACTGGCAGGTCTGAGGTGGTAGGCATCACGGAGACGTGGCTGCAAGGGGATCAGGATTGGGAACTGAATATCCAAGGATATACATCCTATCGAAAAGACAGGCAGGTGGGCCGAGGGGATGGGATTGCCTTATTAGTGAGAAATAGAAATTAAATCAATAGGAAGAAATGAAGTAGGGTCAGATGGTGTAGAATCTGTGAGTAGAATTGAGGAACTGCAAAAGGTAAAAAAAAAATCATAGTTAGAATTGTGTACAGGCCTCCAAACAGTAGTCAGGAGCTGGGGCTCAAGATACACCAGGAGATAGAAAAGGTGTGTAAGAAAGGCAAAGTTACAGTGATCATGGGGGATCTGAATATGCAGGTGGACTGGGAAAATCATGTTGGTAATGGATTGCAAGAAAACGAGTTTGTGGAATGTCTACGAGATGGCTTTTTGGAGCAGCTCATGGTGGAGCCCACAAGGGAACAGGCAATACTGGATTTAGTTTTGTGCAATGAGGCAGACTTGATAAGGGAGCTTAAGGTAAAGGAACCCTTAGGAGGCAGTGATCATAAGATGAAAGAATTTACTCTGCAATTTGAGAGGCAGAAGATAGAATCAGAGGTAACAGTATTACAACTGAATAAAGACGACTACAGAGGTATGAGGGAGGAGCTGGGCAGAATTGACTGGAAGAGGAGCCTAGCAGAAAAGACAGTGGAACAGCAATGGCAGGAGTTCTGCGAGTAATTCAAGAAAAAGAAGCAAGGTAGAGGGAGGCTGAGGCAACCATGGCTGACTAAGGAAGTCAGGGATAGCATAAAAGCAAAAGAGAAACATATAATGTGGGGAAGGGCAGTGGAAAACCTGAGGACTGGGAAGCTTACAAAGACCAACAGAGGGCAACAAAAAAAGAAATAAGGAGGGAGAAGATTAAATATGAGTGTAAGCTAGCCAGTAATATAAATGAAGACTGTAAGAGTTTCTTTAGATATATAAAGGGCAAAAGAGGACATTGGACACTGGAAAATGGCGCTGGAGAGATAGTAGTTGGGAACAAGGAAATGGCTGAGAAACTGAATAATTACTTCACATCAGTCTTCACAGTGGAAGACATGAGTAATCTCCAAAAATTCAACAGAGTCAGGGGGCAGAGCTGAGTATGGTGGCCATCACCAAGGAAAAGGTGCTAGTAAAACTGGCTGGCCTGAAGGTGGATAAATCACCTGGACCAGATGGACTATACCCCAGAGTTCTAAAGGAGATAGCTGAACAGATAGTGGAAGCATTAGTGGTGATCTTTCAGGAATCACTAGAGTCAGGGAGGGTCCCAGAGGACTGGAAAATCGCTAACGTGACACCCCTGTTTAAAAAGGGAGTAAAGCAAAAGACAGAAAATTAGCCTAGCATCGGTCATGAGTAAGATTTTGGAGTCCATTGTAAAGGATGAGATTTCTGAATATTTGGAAGTGTATGATAAAGTAGGGCAAAGTCAGCATGGCTTCATCAAGGGAAGGTCATGCCTGACAAATCTGCTAGAATTCTTTGAGGACGTAACGAGCAGGCTAGACCAAGGAGAGTCAATGGATGTTATCTACCTGGACTTCAAGAAGGCCTTTGACAAGGTGCCGCACAGGAGGCTGCTGAATTAGACAAGGGTCATGGTGTTAGAGGCAAGGTGCTAGCATGGATAGAAGATTGGCTGTCTGGCAGAAAGCAGAGAGTGGGGATAAAAGGGTGTTTCTCAGGATGGCAGCCGGTGACAAGTGGAGTTCCGCAAGGGTCAGTGTTGGGACCACAACTTTTCACTTTATACGTTAATGATCTAGATGAAGGAATTGTAGGCATTCTGGCTAGGTTTGCAGATGATACAAAGATAGGTGGAGGGACAGGTAGTATTGAGGAGGTGGGGAGGCGGCAAAAGGAATTGACAGGTTCGAAGAGTGGGCGAAGTGGCAGCAGATGGAGTACAATGTAGGAAAGTGTGAGGTCATGCACTTTGGTAAGAAAACTAAAAGCATCAACTATTTTCTAAATGGGGAGAAAATTCAGAAGTCTGAAGTGCAAAGAGACTTGGGAGTTCTAGTCCAGGATTCTCTCAAGGTAAACTTGCAGGTTGAGTCAGTAGTCAGGAAGGTAAATGCAATGTTGGCATTTATTTTGAGGACTTGAATATAAAAGCAGGGATGTACTACTCAGGCTTTATAAGGCTCTGGTCAGACCACATTTGGAGTATTGCGTGCAGGTTTAGGCCCCACATCTCAGGAAGGATGTATTGGCCCTGGAGCGGGTTCAGAGGAGGTTCACGAGAATGGTCCCAGGAATGGAAAGCTTAACATATGAGGAACGTTTGAGGACTCTGGGACTATACCCATTGGAGTTCAGAAGGATGAGGGGGGATCTAATTGAAACTTACAGAATACTGAATGGTCTGGACAGAGTGGATGTTGGGAAGTTGCTTCCATTGGTCGGAGAGACAAGGACCTGAGGGCACAGCCTTAGAGTAAAGGGAAGACCTTTGAGAACGGAGATAAGGAGAAACTTCTTCAGCCAGAGAGTGGTGAATTTATGGAATTCACTGCCACAGAAGTTGTGGAGGCCAGTTAATTGAGTACATTTAAGACTGAAATAGATAGGTTCTTGATTATCAAGGGGATTAAGGGTTATGGGGAGAAAGCAGGAGAATGGGGTTGAGGAACTTATCAGCCATGAGTGAATGGTGGAGCAGACTCGATGGGCCAAATAGCCTAATTTCTGCTCCTATGTCTTATGGTCTTATGGACTAAATCTGACAGTTCTTTCAAAGAGATCAGGTGTAATTTGGAGAAATCTGTGCTCCCTCACAGGCCAATATCTCCTTCCTCAGCTGCAGGGCCCAGAACTGAGCACATACTCCAAGGTGATCTAACCATGAATTTAAACTTCTTGCTGCTTTTCGCTATATTAAAAAAAATCAGAGATATTTTCCCACAGACAGAACAGACAAACCTTTTTCTTTCCACAGTTAAATGGCAATGATATTCAGATCCTGATGATTCTGCTGACTGTCAGAACTTGTTTTAAAATCCCGGTCTCAATTAATATCCTATAAAACAGATTCACGAAACAAAAATCAGTGAGAATCCTGGATGAATTGAAAAGACAAACATTTATCTTAGTTTCAGTTTGCTGTGTGTAAATGCTCCTCTTCAAATCGCCCAGCGTTGCTACACCTTGCCCCCAATAAAGATGGCGGCCATAACCCGGGGCCTACCATCGCCTTAGGTCTACAGGCATTTTCCTGTTTGCTGCAAATGCGGGACTGAGAGTTTCTAATTCTGGTCTTGCAGCCTACACCAGGTGATCATAAAACTTCCCAGTCCAAACTGACTCCATTTTTCTTCCAGTTTCCTTTGGGGCTGTACTCTGTCCCTCCGGAGATGCTGCTAACATGTCCCAATTCCCCTGCTATTTGCCCATAGCCCTCCAAATCGTTCATTAAAATGCTAAATTTTAAATCTCTTTTGAGAGTAACTGCTGCTGTTCAGACTGTTCCAGATGCTCAGAACTTCCTGAGTAAAATAATCTTAACAGTTTCACTATTTTAACATTATTTGCAAATTACCTGGAAGTGGTTACTTAAAATTGTGACAATGGTCCATAATTTCTCTTTCTCTCTGCAAATCAGATATTGTGGAAACAAATCTGCACCTGGACTAAATCATTGCCCTACCTTGGAGACAGTAAGGAGTGCAGATGCTGGAAGCTAAAATCCATAAATGTGGAGCTGGAAAAGTATAGCAGGTCAGACATCATTCAAGGAGTAAGGAAGTCAATGCTTTGGTGATGAAGGGTTTCGGCCTGCAATGTTGACTTCCCCACTCCTCAAATGCTGTCTGAGCCATTGCTTAACCTTCTCAGCTCCAAGGAGAATTATCTGAGCTTCTGTCATCTCTCCACAAAAGAAAAACCCATCTCAATTTTAACTTATTGGAATTGTATAACTGCGCAACACAGAAACAGGCCCTTCGGTCCAACTTGTCCGTGCAAAGTAGGTATCCTTAATAAATCTGATCCCATTTGACAGCATTTGGCCCATATCCCTCTAAACCGTTCCTATTCACTACCCAAACAGATGCCTTTTAATTGTTGTAATTGTACCAGCCTCCACCACTTCCTGTGGCAGCTCATTCCATAACATACCATGCTCAGCTTGAAAATGTTGTCCCTTAGATTCCTTTCAAATCTTTTCCCTCTCACCTTACACCTATGCCTTCTAGTTTTGGACTACCCAACCTTAGAAAAAGACCTTGGCTATTCACCTTATCCATGCCCCTCATGATTTTGTAAACTTCCATAAGGTCACTTCTCAGTCTCCAACGCTCCAGGGAAAATAGCCCCAGCCAATTCAGATTGTCTCTATAGCCCAAACCCTCCAACTCTGGCAACATCTTGCCAAATCTTTTCTGAACCCTTTCAAGTTTCACAACATCTTTCCTATAGCAGGGAGACCATAACTGAATGCAGAATTCCAGAAGTGGCCTAACCAATATGCTGTATAGCACAACATGACGTCGCAACTTCTGTACTAAATGCACTGACCATCAAAGGCAAGTGTACCAAATCCCTTTTTCACTACCCTGCCTACCTGCGACTCCACTTTCAAAGAACAATGAATCTGCACCCCAAGGTCTCTTTGTTCAGCAACACTCACCAGGACCTTACCATTAAATGTATAAGTTATGCCCCGATTTGCCTTTCCAAAATGCAGCACCTCACATTTATCTAAATTAAACTCCATCTGCCACTCCTCAGTCCATTTTCCCATTTGATCAAGGTCCCATAGTACTCTGAGGTAACCTTCTTCGCTGTCCACTGCACCTCCAATTTTGGTGTCATCTGTAAACTTATTAACCATACCTCATGTATTCACATCCGAATAATTTATATAAATGACAAAAAGCAGCGGACCTATCATCGATCCTTGCAGCACACAGCTGGCCACAGGCCTCCAGATAACAGAATAAAAGAGTTGGCAGGGGAGATAGCAAACGTGCTTGTGGTAATTCACCAAATCTGCCAGACTCTGGGACGGTTCTGGCAAATTTGAAAGCAGCAAATGTAATGCCACTACTTAAAAAAAAAAATGAGGTGGACAAAAGATGGGTAACTATTGACCCGTTAGCTTAACTTCTGTGGTGGGGAATATGTTTCAAGGATGAAATAGCGAGATATCTGGATAGAAATTGTCCCATCAGGCAGACGCAGCATTGTGTCAAGAAAGGTAGGTAATGTTTAACTAATTTACTGAAATTCTTTGAGGATATAATAAGCGCGGTGGACAATGGAGAACTGGTGGATGTGGTGTATCTGGATTTTCAGAAGTCATTCGACAAGTTGCCAAACAAAAGGCTGCTGCATAAAATAAAGATGCATGGCGTTACAGGTAACAAGACTTTCCAAAATTCAGCCCCTCACGAAGATTACCTCAGAGTACAAGTTACAGGTTACATGGATAGTGGATTTGTTAACTTACAGAAAGCAAAGAGTGAGGATGAATGGGTGTTTGGATTAGTGTTGGGACTGCAATTGTTTACAATTTACACAGAGGATCTGGAGTTGGGACCAAGTATATGTGTCAGAGTTGTCACAGATGACACTAAGATGACAGGTCGAGCACAGTGTGCGGAAGCCACTGTAAATCTGCAGAGGGATATAGATAGGTTAAGTGAGTGGGCAACGGTCTGGCAGATGGAGTACAATGTTGGTAAATGTGAGGCCATCCATTTTGGTAGGAATAGCAGAAAACTGGACTATTATCTAAATGGTGAAAAACTGTAGCACACCGTTGTGCAGATGGACCCGGGTGTGCTTGTGCATGAATCACAAAAAGTTGGTTTGCAGATGCAGCAGGTAATTAAGATGGCAAATGGAATATTTTCCTTCATTTCTAGAAGGATGGAGTTTAAAAACAAGGAGGTTATGCTGCAGCTGTATAGGGTGCTGGTGAGGCTATGCCCAGACTACTTTAGTTTTGTTCTCAATACTTCAGCAAGGATGTACTGGCACTGGAGGGAGTGCAGAGGAAGTTCACGAGGTTAATTATGGAATTGAGATGGTTGGCTTATGAGAAGAGATTGAGTAGACTGGTACTATATTCATTGGAATTTAGAAGAATGAGGGTGGTCTAACAGAAAAGTATAAAATTATGAAGGAAATAAACAAGATAGAAGCAGGGCGGTTGTTTCCACTGATGGGTGAACCACACAGCATAGCTTCAAAATAAGGGGGGGCAGATTTAGGACTGTGTTGAGGAGGAACTTCTTCAGCTAAAGGGTTGTGAATCTGTGGAACTTCCTGCTGAGTGAAGCAGTTGAGGCTACCTTCTTGAATGTTTTTAAGGCAAAGGTTATTTAGGGTTATGGTGAGCGGGGAGGAAAGTGGAGCTGAAAAAGTCAGCCATGATCTTATTGAATAGTGGAGCAGGCTCAACAGGCCAGATGGCCTATTCCTGCTCCTATTTCTTACGTTCTTATCTTCTGACTTTCCAGCCATCCCTTTACCTGCGAATATCATCCCCAATCAAATTTTAAAATTTCTTGCCTTGTACCACCAAAATCGGCCTAAATCCAAGTTAGAACTTCAACTTTTAGATCTGGTCTATCTTTTTCCATAACTATTTTACAACTAATAGAATTATCATAGAATCCCTACAGCGTGGAAGCAGGCCATTTGGCCCATCAAGTCCGCACTGAAGAGCCTCCTTCCCTACCCCTGTAACCTTGCATTTTCCATGCCTAGTCCACTTAACCTGCACATCCTTGGACTGTGGGAGGAAACTGGAGCACCCAGAAGAAACCCATCAGACATGGGAAGAATATGCGAATTGAACCCAGATGCGTGGTGCTGAGGCAGCAGTGCTAACCACTGAGCCACCATACCATGGGATCTCTGGTCCCGAAGTGCTCCCCCACTGATACTTCAGTCACTCACCCTGCCTTACTTCCCAAGAGAAAGTCTCTCGTAGGTAATCCTACAAACTGAATTAGAAAATGTTCTTGTACACACTTAAATACCTTTCCATCTAAGCCCTTAACGCTATGATAGTCCCAGACTATGTTTGGAAATTAAAAACCCAATCATTACAACCTTATTATTCTTCCAGATAAATGAGATCTCTCTATAAATTTGCTTCTTAATTTCCCGCTGACTATTGGGGGTGGGGGGGTCTATTGTATAATCCTGATAAGGTGATCATCCATTTCTTATTTCTGAGTTCCACCCAAATAACCTGAGGAAAATCCTCCCTAGTACAGCCATAAAGTTATCGCTAATCAAAAACATCACTGTTCCTCATGCCCCTTTCTATCTTTCCGATAGTATCTGTACCCTGGAACATTAAGCTGCCAATCCTATCCATCCCTGAGCCCATATTTCTGTAAAAGTTACTATATCCTAGTCTCATGTTCCCAACCAGGCCCTGAGCTCATCTGCCTTACTTGTCAGGCATCTTGCATTGAAGTATTTGCAGTCAAACTTCTCAGTCATACCTCATTGTCTGCCTTGCTCTTGCCTGCCTTGACTGTTTGATTTCTCAACTGTACCAGCCTCAGATTTATCTCTTTTCTCACTATATTTTTTGGTTTACCCCGATTCCCTTATTGCTTTAACGCATCCCGAGTTGCACTGGCAAAACTCCCCGCCAGTATATTAGTCCCTTTCCAATTCAGGTGCAATCCATTCTTCTTATGCAGGTCAATTCTACTGCAGAAGAGATTCCAATAATCCAAAAATGTGAATCCTTCTCCCCTGCATCAGGTCCTTCACCACGTATTCATCTATCCTGCTATTCTTACTCTCACTACCACGTGGCACCAGGAGTAATCCAGATATTACTACCCGTGAGGACATAAGTTTTAACCTCCTGCCTAATTGCCTATATTCTCTCATCAGGACCTCATCCTTTTCTCTTCCTATGTCGTAGTTACCAACGCACAATGACCTACTACTGGTCATTCTCCCCTTTGGAGATTATTCTGCACACTCTTTGAGACATCCTTGACCCTGGCACCAGGGAGACAAACACCATTCTGATGTCTCACTGGT